TTGGCTTTATCTTCTTGAGCTGACCTTTGAAATTTTCTGTTCAGCTCTTGTACCTCCTCATTTCTTCCATTTGCTTTAGCATCTCTATGTTGGAGAACAAGTTTCACTATCTCTTTTGATATCCATTTTGACCTTTTCCTTCTTTCTTGTCTTCTTAATGACCTTTTGCTTTCTTCCTGTATGATGTTCTTGATGTTATCTCACAGCTCCTCTGGTCTTTGGTCTTTAGTGTTTAATGTATCAAATCTCTCCAGATATTACTCAGAGTAGAATACTAAAAAACACTGTACTCCTGTACAGATGCAGAACACTCAACAAAATAGTAGGAAACTGAATCTAACAACTTTTTAAAAGAATTATATATTGTGAACAAGTGGGATTTAGCCAAGAATTATGTAATTCTGGATTTAATTTTATACACGATTGATTTAACACTGAAAATCAAATAATGTGATATACCCTAACAATAGAATAAAGGATCAAAGCCACATGAGTATCTCAATGGACACAGAAAAAGCATTTGACAAACTCCAGCACCCTTTTATGATTAAAACACTCTAGTAAGAACTTTCTCAGACTATTAAAGGGCATCTAGGAGTGGTTCAATGAACCAGAGTTGGTTTGATCCTCAAGGTTGGTGGTTCAAGCTCACTGGTGGCTCCTCAGAAACCCTATACAGGGTTACTATGGGTTGGAACCAACTCAGCGGCACTTAATAACAACAACAGGAAAAAAGTCACAGCTCACATCATTCTTAATAGTGAAAGAGACTAATAGAGGTAATAAGTGAGTTCAGCAAGAATGCATAAAAGCCAATTGTACAAGATAATGGGTGGGTAGAGAACGGTGTTTTTCAATAAATGGTACTGGAAACATGGATATCCACATGCAGAAAGTAAAGCAAAACCCATACCTCAGATCATATGCAAAATTTTAAATGAATCAAGTACCTAATTATAAAGTACAACTCTTAAAACAGGGTTAAATTTTCGTGACCTTAGGCCAGGCAGCAGGTAATAACAAATGATCCTTATAGCACAAGCAGCAAAAGAAACAGTAGGTACTTTAGATTTCATCAAAATTGAAACTTGAGGACATTCATCAAGAAAATAACTGCTTGAACCAAGTAACAGAAAGATCGAAAGCAAGAACACAGAAAAAACTTTAGAAGAATTCAGGAAAATGTTAGAAGAACAGACAATAAACGCAAAATTTGAAAACA